AGAAGCTGCGGATTGGAGGATCGCGCGGCATCGCTCATGCTCCGGTGATATATGCTCGGACGGCGTTTGGACGAGGATGAATCCGTCCCAGAGCGCTCCAGAGCGCTCTCGGAGCGCTCCGAGGGCCGCAGGTCCAACGGTACCCTTGCAGGGATCCGCGCTGCTTTGCGAGCACGCACTGCGCGAACGGTCGTGTCGCGCAGCTGGTCTCGCGGGCCAGGGCCGTGGGGCCGTGTCCACGTGCGTGGCTGGGCGCATGCGAGTGCCGTCGCTAGGCTGCATTAGCGTGCGCTGGCGTCGGATAGTCGACGGGGCAGTGCCGATTTCACTGGCGTCGGTTGGCGTCGATCTGGCGTCGAGGGTTAGTTGGCGTCGGTCCGCAACGGCCAGCAGGATGACATGGAAGACTCCTATGAGTTCATCCAGAACGAGAAGGATCCCAGATCCTCGACGATGAGTTTTTTCCAACCTGGGCGTTTTCCCTCGATGATGCGTTTTTTACTCCAAGGTGTTTGTCGGACTCGCCCGACGGCGCCACATGAAGATTAGAAGCGTCATTCAAGGAAGCTACAAAGCAGTTGCCATGACGCCCCATCCCAGCCCGACGACGCTAGAATCTTCAGACGCATCGGAATGTATTGAACATCGGAACCACTATTAGCCGGGGACAATAGAGCTGAGAAGAAGGATCGTGCAAATTGACAGAATTATTATATTTTGCTGTGTGTTTGGACGCAGTAAGACACTTGCGCAAACTCCTCGCAAGCACGCTGGCGTGACAGATATGGATGGGAATATTACCGACACGACAGGCGGGCCAGATGGTCTGGCGGAAGGCCCTGGCTCGAGCGTTTATGGCAATTTTCGTCGTGTCAGCGGGGTCGCAAGCCCCCGCACAGCATGCCTCCCAGTCGATGGCAGTGCATGATGTGTCTCGTTTCTCTTCTTCTCGCCATCGCCAGCCGACTCAGTCCACGCTGGAGGCCGATCGTTCGGTGACGGCAGGATCGCCGTGGAGTTCCATGACATCGACTGACGCCGATGGTGGGAGCGAGCCAGTGCACAGCATCAGAGGCTTTCACCGCGCCTGCCGTGCCATTCCCGCTAGAGGGCGAGTGTGGTCCTGGTCCGGTCTCAAGGTAGGCCAGGACGTTGTGGCAGACCGACGCAATGGGGCTACTCAGTTCGGCGACACAGAAGTAGCAACAGCTTCGGGGGATGCGTGGGCGCCGAAGTGTTGGAGCGCGACGGGGCCTCGATCATCTCTCTGTTCTGCTGTGAAATGGTTTTTTGGCTCGAGGAAATTCAGGAGGATCCCGACACCACGGGCCATCGTGCACGCTAAGCGCTAGCCTCCGGACCGACGTACCTGCTCCCTCGACGCAGCGAGACCCTCAGCAAGGTTTGTCCACGGCTGTGCAACAAAGTGGCCATCGCGCTCACCAGATGGTTTGTGTGGGACCTGACAGTTACCGAGTGGCTTGGCTTCCCATGCGCATTCATCCGGTGGTTTGCGGTCGTCTAACCACTTCCGTGGCCCTCGGATCAAGCAGAATGGGGAGCCGATGCAGTACTCCTCCGTGGCCCGTGAGTGCCAACAGTGATAACTGTTCTTTGAGTAGGCTAAATTTTGTTGCTCTCGCTTTGGTGAGGTTTCAGTTGTTGCACAATTCAGTTTTGTGTTTTTCAACGCTGGCGCTTCTCCTGCCTTTCCCCTGTCCTTGGCCAGCTACGCTGTTGACTTTGAGTTCGGCTCGGCCCGCAGCCCGCAGACTGGCGCTCGATCAACCTGTTTGCCGCCGTCGTTTCACCATCCTGGAGCGTCGCCGACTTCGCGCTGCTGGTAAGGGCAGGTTCAGCATCGGTGTTCTATGCTTTTCTACGCCTGCCGCGCTGCGCCGAATGAGTTTCCTTGCCTGCCACCAGTCCTTCGGTCAGAGGACCAGGTGCTGATGTGCGAGCCTCCCACCAGAGGGTGTATGCTCCGCATGTGACGGCTATGGATGCGCATGCGCGCGGGTCGACCGCGCGGTTGGCCCCGCGATAGTTCGCTAGACATCTTGATTTGGGGCAGCGGCAGTTAAGAAAAACGCCCTTGGTGGGGACACTTTGATGGTGGCAGAAAATGAAAATTAGTGACGGGGCACAGGCCGCACTTTGGAACCACGATGGCGGATTCTTGAAGAATCGCCGTTTTTTCTCGAGACGGACATCTTCCAAACATCGGCCCAAAAAGGGGTTCCGAATCGACGTCGTGTTCGAATCGCTCCTGGATGGCTTTCCAACGGCCCAGGGGAGGCCCACAAAACGCCGCGGAAGTCCCCAGGAACGCCCAGGAACGCCCGAGAGCGCCCCAAGAAGACCAAAACAAAAAACCCAAGAGCGCTTGAGGAACCACCCAGACAGCTCGTAAGAACCCCGAGACGGCCCGCGAAGGGCAACAAAGGCCCCGAAATATTCCCGGGAGCGCCCCAGGAGGCCCCCAAACGGCCCAAGGAAACCGCAAAACGGCCGAAAATGGCGCCGAGACGGCTTAAAAACGCTCCCACTGAACCCCACGACGCGCCCAGACAGTCCAAGAAGGCTCCCAGAAGCCCATGAGAGGACCCGAGAGGCCCCCAAGAAACCCCCAGCAGGCCCCAAGACAACCCCGCGCGGCGCCAGGAGCAACGTCCTTCTCCAATTGCCTCTTACTGTCCTCCGTCGTCGTCGTCGTCGTCGTCGCCATCGCCCTCCACATTCCTCCTCGTGCTCGCCCTCGTTCTCTTCGTCCTCGTCGTTGTGCTTTTCTTCCTCTTCGTTGTCCTCGTGCTCCTCGTCGCCATCCTCACGTTCGCCACGTCGTCCTCGTCATCGACTCCTCGTTGCCCTCGCCTTCATTTTCTTCTTGTCACCCAATACGCCCATTAGACTGAAGCGGCGCTTCCCGTTCTCGTCCGATCTGTTGTTCTGAACAACTGCAAGGGCGAGTGCAATTCTCAGAATTTGCACCAACAATCGCACATATGCTTGGAAGCGTGGAAGTATTCGTCCACGTAATATTGCTACATGTTCGATGGGAGAGTTCAGGACTGCAGCCAAAAATCTTGAAAAACAAGAAAGTCTCGGGACCAGACGGCGTCCCGGCAGAGTGCTGGAAGTTTCTCGCACCAGACGCGGAAGCATGTGGATCCGTTCGGCACGTATGCCAGAGTTGGAGACCAAACGTGCGAAAGCATGAGACCCAGTCCGGCTTCCAGCCGAGACGTGGCACAGCTCTTGCTTTAATGTTGGTGGGGTTGGTGGTGAACGCAGCGCATTTGAATAATGGGTGGGGGCTCTTATTGCTAGATTGGGCCAAATTGCTTGATCGTCTTAAGCCTGACTGCGTGTGCGTTGCGCTCGAGAGATCTGTGCTTCCTGCGCGACTGATACAAATGATACAGTGTTTTTTTACGCAGAGTGGTATTTCACTATTGTATACTATTGGGGGACATCACCACAGAGGAAGCCATCGGCAGAGATCGCTCAAGGATATTCCTGAACCCACACTAATTTACCGCCGTTCAAACTGTCATGCTACACGACGCGTTGGCCAGATTGGTTGTGCAAGCGGAGCCAGACTACGCCGTCACGGGAGGCATACTCGACTCAGACGACACCCTTTCCAGCACCCAGGGAATGTGCAATCGATGTTGGTTTGGAATTAGCGTTGGGAGAACACCGGCAAACACGTATCTTCGATCGGGGAAGCCAGGAGGCCCAAAGGCGAAACAAAAGTGAGAGACGCCGTCTATTTGGGAGGTTCGGTATCTGTCGACGGCAAGCCAGGAAAGATGTATCTCGGAGGGGTGAGCGCTCAATCGCTTCAACTCGTTACAGAAAATCCGGTTCCATACTCCAAATGGGAAGCGCCAGAAGCCATATGTACGCATATATAAGTATGGATAGAGACTCTCTAGTTACGTGGTCAGCACGGTGTTGTATTATTTTGATTCACTGTGGCTACTCAAAGCAAACAAACATTGGATAAAGTCCTTTCGTTGCAGGCGTCCGCGCAAGCTCGTTGGGATACCGCGTTCCTGTGTGTCCAGAGTCAGCAACGTGGAGTTACTGAGCCAAGCGCAGGGAACACCTTTGTCATACCTTCTACGTGACAGGAAAAATGAACTGCACGTGGAAATCAAACGCATTCGCCCAACATTGGTGGCGCCAGCCCAGGCCAAGGGGCATCGAAGAGTGGTGACGCTGAGGCGCTCGATCGGAGGGGGAGGGGGCGAGCGGGGGAGTACGGTGGGTTCGTGCGGCGATGGCGCGCTGGCGACGCCGGCGAAGGCGTCCAAGGTTGATCTCCGCATGATACAACGACACCGAAACATTGGGGGGCACGGTAACGCCACAGTGACCCGACGGGATGCAACTTGAAACGATGGGGGCCGCTATCTTTTCGAGACTGAGCGATCGACGCGGCGTCCAAAACTTTTTGCGCGCGCCGACGATGCACGGACCTCATTGCCGCACTGGAGGAGCAGGGCTGGAGGAGGAGGGCCAGAGGCGACGATAGGGGCGAGTAGCCCAGGGGGGAGCAATACATGTATCCAGGGGCGCCGACGATTCATGTCTTTGGCGAGGCTCCAGGGCGAATGCGCGCCTTGCCCGCCCCTGGGCTATTCGCCCTCCTCGTCGCCGCCGATGGGGCCCCTGGAGGAGGAGGAGGAGGAGGAGGAGGAGAGGCAGGAGGAGGAGGAGCAGGAGCAGGAGCAGGAGGAGGAGGAGGAGGAGGAGGAGGAGGAGGAGGAGGAGGAGGAGTGGGAGGAGCAGGAGCAGGAGGAGCAGGAGGAGCAGGAGGAGGAGGAGGAGGAGGGGAGGAGGAGGAGGAGGAGGAGGAGGAGGGAGGAGGAGGAGGAGGAGGAGGAGGAGGAGGAGGACGAGGAGGAGGGAGGAGGAGGAGAAGGAGGAGGAGGAGGAGGAGGAGGCGAGGCGGTCTCCGCGCCGCCCCCCCCCCGCTGCGCGCGGGCGAGGGCCCCACGGGCACAGCCCCGAAGTTGGCGTCCGGTGCTCCGTCTCGGCCCTCGGGGGGGCCACTCTGTTCGGGCGACTTCGGCGGGCTGCCCAACGGCCTCACCTCCTCCTCCTCCCTCCTCCTCCTCCTCCTCTCCGTCCTCCGTCCTCCTCCTCTCCTCCTCCTCCTCCCCTCCTCCTCCTCCTCCTCCTCCTCCTCCTCCTCCTCCTCCTCCTCCCCCTCTTGCTCCCCCCTCCTCCTCCTCCCCTCCTCCCCCTCCTCCCCTCCCCTCCTCCTCCTCCTCCTCTCCTCCTCCTCCCCCCTCCCTCCTCCTCCTCCTCCTCCTCCTCCTCCTCCTCCTCCTCCTCCTCCCACCTCCTCCTCCTCCTCCTCCTCGTCCTCCGTCTCGGCCCTCGGGGGCCGCTTTGTTCGGGCGACTCCGGCGGGCTGCCCAGCGGCCTCACCGAGAATTACGTCGGGCGTGTTCCCCTACAGTGGGATTTTCGACGAAAAATGCAAGATACACCAAAAATGCCCCCAAAGGGTTCAAAAATGCTAAAACAAAAAATTATCCCAGTGCGACCCTACCTAGGAGTTGGAACCCCTAGGAAAGCAGCATTAGTAGTAACAGTAACGCTAAGCTAAAGCTAAGCCACAGCTAAGCTAAAGCTAAGCTAAAGCTAAGCTAAAGCTGAGCAACAGCTAAGCTAAAGCTAAGCTAAAGCTAAGCTACAGCTTATTGTTGGAATATGTTTTGATTATTTTTGGTGTATGTTCTATTCCTCGTCGAAAATCCCCCTGTAGGGGGACAGGCCCGACTTAACCGAAAACCGAGACGCCCGTGAACATCTTCATATTCCTCAGCTCTATTGCAAAGGCCTGCCCTCACCGCCGCGGGCTTGTGGACCCGGCCACACGTTTCCCGCATCGCCTACCACGACAGCGACGAGTGTTCTGTACGATTCTTGGCACAGCAGTGGAGACAACTGAACATCGTTTTTGGCATTGTCCTTGCAACCGCGTTCCACGTGCCTCGCTCAGCAAGTTCCTGGTAATCAGTGTTTCTGTCGGGCTTCCTCCTTGTCTCGCACGATGCGGTTTTATCCCTGCTTGTTTACCGCATGGTTTTATGATTCGCCATGCTGTATGTGCTCGGCAATACCCGTTATGGCAATCATCGAAAAGTCCGTTTGCATTTGGACCAGTTTGTGTCCCAATTTGCCGATTTCATCCATGTCGAGCGCCTTGGAGCCCGTTTCTTTATTGCTTGGGGCATGACGGGCGTCATGGTCCCCGCTCCCCCCCCCCCTATGACGTAACGCTCCCCTCCCCCCCCAGTGCGCTCCAGGCATTGCCGCCGTGCGCATTGGGATCCGCGTAGGTGTCCGCGTAGGAGTCCGCATAGGTGTCTGGTCCACAGGCGTCGTCGTCGTTGTCGTCGTCGTCGTCTGTCGTCGTCGCTCGTGGTTCGTCGCTCGTCGCTCATCGTCGTCGTGCGCGCGGACGCGGCTGCAGCCTGTTTGTAAGTCCGGGCCGATGACGGCAATCATCCGGGGGGGGAGGGGGTCGATGACGTCACGTTTCGCGCCGGCGGCGTCTGGGAATGCTTAGGAATGACAGAGGACGGGTAGCACGAACATGTATCTGGACGCCCGAAATGGGTACCGAAAGAATGGGTACAATGCCCAACAGCAGTTCCTGTTCATTTTGAACAGGCCTCGCTGTCCATGCCGCCGCGGCCTGTGTCCATTCGAGACAGGAGGCCGCCTGCCCAACAGCGGCCGCTGTTGGTTTGGGACAACATTTGTTGTTGTTGGGCATCGTACCCATTTTTTCGGTACCCATGTCGGGCGTCCAAAATGTAGGTGGCGATATGCACCACAACGCCTGTGTACATCACAGTGCCCGCGTGCACCACAGCGCCTGTGTAAACCACGCCGCCGATGTACACCACAGCAACCGCGTGCAACACAGCGTCAGTTTGTGCCACCGTGCTTGCGGGCACAGCAGCTCCTGTGTACACCACAGCGCTTCCGTACACCCCGTGCGCAACACAGCACCAGTGTACACTACAATGCATGCGTGCATTGCAGTGCCTGTGTGCGCCACGGCGCCTGTGTGCACTACATCAGCCGTGTGCAACACAGCACCATTGTTGTGTATAGAATTTCAGAAGGAATCCTTGTGACAAAATGGAGCGCGTGTGGATTCCAGCGAAAACAATGGAAAACAAATCCTCGTGGACAGAGAAGCGCCGCTGGAATCTACGAGTCCCCCCGAGTCCGCCCGCATCACCCTAACTCCCACTTGCGTCCAGGAGGCTCCAGCTAAACTGGCTGTCCGAGAACCAAGTGGACCGATTCAATCGACCATTCTGCGGTGCACGCTGAGATGCGCACGTGCGTTGTAAAGCACAGCCGCACGACAGGGGGTAAGAAGGAGGAAAAGGAGGATGATGATGATGAAGAGGAAGAGGAGGAGGAGGAGGAGGTTGGAGGCGGAGGAGGAGGTGGAGGAGGAGGGAGCAGGGACAAACGTCGCATTCGATTATCAGAACTTTCCTGGCGTGGCGTTTAGTTGTCCGCAGCAGATCCTGACGTACATGCTCCTTCTACCTGTCCTATGCACGCAGGCACTTTGGTGTACACCAGCGCTGCGTTGCACGCGGATGCTGTGGTGTAGGCAGGCGCTGTGGCGTGCACAGGCGCTGCGGTGCACGCAAGCACTGTGGTGTAAACAGGCGTTGTGTTGCACATGGCTGTGGCGGTGTATGTACACCGGCGCTGTAGTGCTCCAAGTATTGTGGTATACACGGGCGATGCGTTGCACATGGTTGTTGCGGTGTACGCAGGCGCTGTGGTGCACACGCGCGGTGTGGTGCACGCGAGCGCTGTGGTGTACACAGGCGCAATGGGCAAATCGCCACCTACATGCTGGTCGCGTCGTCGTCGTCGCTCGTCGCTCGTCGCGTCGTGCGCGCGGGCGCGGCTGTGGTGCCGGAGCCACACGGCGGGGGGGGGGGGCGTCACGTCATACCCCCCCCCGCCCTCCCCCCCCCCATGACGCCCGTCATCGCCGAACATAAAGAAACGCGCACTTGCCGCCGTCACGGCGCATCAAACGTGTCGTCGCACCAGTTGCGCACGACGTGGCAAGCGGCCAGCCGAGAGGAGACATCTTGCCGCAGCGTCCCGCTACTACGTTCCAGCCTCCTGCTCACGTGGTGGTTTCGTGCCATTTCACTGCGACTCTCGATGGGGATGAGCCGAAGTCTGGGTGGGGCTTCACGGTTTCCTTCCCCTGGGCGTGCTGGCCCATCCGCTATCGATATTGGTGTGGACGGGAGCGCCGGCCCATTCGCTATCGATGTTGGCCATCTACGTCGTGTTCTTCAGTCCGTTCATTTTCTGCATTTCGCGATTGAGTTTGGCTCTCAATATGCAGCAGACAGTGTTCGCAGACACTCCAGTGCTCGTCGCAACTTGGCTCTTATCCTTAGAGCGCGGCATGTCCTTGACAACATTGATCATCATATTACGTGGACCACGGTTGTGTCTCACATTTGTGCAGCATTAGATGACCGTGTTGATCACCAGGCCGATTACGGTGTTAATGATATGTCGTCTCCCTTGTCATCGCTTTCTAAGATTTCAAGATGGGCTCGAGCTTCACGGTAATATGTGGCTTTTGTTCAAGCAGCCCGTGGGATTTTCAAGCTCAGGCGTTCAAAAAGTTCAAGGTTTCCTCATCTTAGACCGTGAACGAGACTTGCATCCTCCTCCTGGTCGTCCTCTTCTTCCCCACCCCCCTCTCCGGGGAGGAGGTGCGTCGAGGGAGGGGGAGGACGGGGGCTACGATGAACGATCGTATGCAGGGGGGGCGGGGGGGAGAAAAGGGGAGGCTGAGAAAGAGCCTATCTCGAGAAGGAGGGGGGGGGGAGGAACTGGGGAAGGAGGAGGAGATCTGGGGCCGTCTCGGCCCTGCTGCCCCCCGGTCGCGTCGGCCCGCCGCGGAGGCCGGGCGGTGGGCCACGCTGCGGCGTGCGCGGGGCGGGGGGCCTCAGACGCAGCCGGCAGAGGTCGGGTGAGGTGGGGGGGTTGCATGGAGCGCCGCTGGCGCCGTGCCCGTCCTCGTCGAGCGTCGACCTCCTCCTCCTCCTCCTCGTCCTCCTCCTCCTCTTCCTTCTCCTCTGCCTCCTCCTCCTTTTCCTCCTCCTCCGCCTCCTTCTTCCCTTCCTCCTTCTGAGAGGAAAGGAGAGGAAAGGAGAGGAAAGTGGAAGCCAGGAGAGAGGGAGGAGGAGGAGGAGGAGGAAGAGGATGAGGAGGAGGAGGAGCAGGACCAGTGTAAAGCTACGACGTGCTCACGATGTTGCAGTACACCGTCCCTTGAAGCTTCTTCATCGGGCCGTAAAGAATGTGCTCCATTGCGGGAACGGGCCCTTCAGACGACAACCCTAGGATAATCCTCAATCGTGTCACAGCAATGGTCCTGGGAATTCAGCGCCGCGGATTGGTGTGACTGTTGCGTCCTGACAATCCGAAGTCGTTCCAGATGCCGTTCCTGGGACTTCGACGCCGCGAATCGACGTGACTGGTAGGTCTTGACAGTCCTAAATCGTTCCAGAACTTTTTTGGGGGGGACCTCGACCTCGACCATACGAAACCCTGAAACTTCTTCAGGCTTTAAGACGGATATGCGCGGTGCTAAGACGAGAGGCACACGTTGAAAAAAGGAACCGCCTTCCAACAATGCAAATTCATGCAAAGTTTCTGGTCGAATGTGCGCGGCGCCAAGGCGAGAACCCCATTATGAACACCGCCCGCACTCCATTGGTGAAACTGTTGCAAACTTGCAAGACGAATGTGCGCAGCGCCAAAGCGAAAGCCACATGTTGAAAGCGACTCGCCCTTACACCTGTGAACATGTCGCACATTGCAAGCTTCAGGATCATGAATGGCGGGCAACAGGCCTGGAGTTGCGACAAGGAGGAGTTATGTTTCCAGCCGCCTGCGGCAAACCGTGCCACCGCTCCTGTGCAACAGCGCAGCAGGAAGGAGGATGAGTGTAGGAACAGCGTATTTCTTACGAGTGTTCTGTCTGAACTGAGACAGGTCATGAACTCGACCTCGCCTTCGTCCGCGCGGTAGAAAGGTCACGCCCCGCAGCGATTCAGAGATTGGGTTGAATTTGATGAGGTCGTGATCTCGACCTCCGAGAAGGAGAACATGTGGACGATGAAGAGCAGGCTTTTTGTGGGTCTCTTGGAGCCTCCTGGCTGTCTCCGGAGTGCCTCTTGGGGCCTCTTGGGTGCCTCTTGGGGCTTTTCGGGGGCCCCTTGGGGTTTCTTGGGCAGTCTTGGGGACTGAGCCCGTTTGACGCCTTCGGAGGCCGTCTTACGGGTCTCTTTGGGCTGTCTTCGTGCCCCATTGGGCGATCTGTGGGTCCTCTTGGGCCAGCTGTGGGCCCTCTTGGGGGCCTCTTTGGTTGTCTTGGAGCTATCTTGGAGGTCTCTTGGGGCCTCTTGGCCTGTCTTTGGGCGATCGGAAATCCAAACAGGCGAGAACCTCAACATCTGTCAAAACCTTTGGGAAATCAAATGGTGTTAGCCTCCTCGGGTTTTCCAGGAGGGCCTCTAGGAGCTGTCTTTGGGTCCTCTTGAGCTGTCCTGAGACCGTCAGGCCGTCTTGGGAGCCTCTTCAGCCGTCTTGGGCCATCTTGGGCCGTCTTGGTGTCTTCGTGGCTACTTTGGAAGCCGTGCTGGAGGCCATCTTGGCTGTTTGGCGGCCGAACAGTGCGACGGAGAGCAACTTCGAGGAGGGCGATCGCAGCGGCGTGCTTGCGGTGAGGGGGGGGCGGCCAAGGGCCATACCATGTGCAGTTGTGAGCGTCGCGTTGTGGGTACCGTTCTTAGTGTAGCTCCTTTGGGGGCTTTGGTGGAGCGCCCTGCGGGGCCGCAGGATCGTATAAGGGGTGCGCCGAAACGGTTGCGGCGGTGCCACGCGAACCAGCCGTTCGGGCATTGGGCGGAGTCCTTTTATGGGGCCTCGAAACGCGTGAGAGGTGTGCCGAAATGGGCGCGGCGGTGCCACGCGAACGCAGCCACTGGGGCCTTCGGTGTAGCTCCCTTTGGGGCCACGAGACGCGTGTGGGGTGTGCTGACATGTGTGCGGTGGTGCCGTGCGAACGCAGCCACAAGGGCCTTCGGTGGAGCTCGGTATGGGGCGCCGAGACGCGTGTGTGCCGACATGGGTGCGGTGGTGGCATGCGAGCGCAAACGCTGGGGCCTTTTGTGGAGTTCCCTCTGGGTGCCGACTTTGACACGCAGAGGGCAAAGGCAGGGATGGGATGAGGGGAGGAGGGGAGGAGCGGGAGTGAACGCGGGGGCCGATTGATTCAAAGCGAGATCCCAACACTACAGGACGATTGGGAACAACTTCCCAAACAACACACGAGCATTCTAACACGCCCACTCCGTGCAGGCACGGTGGCGGATAAGGAAGAGGAATGGAGGAGGAGGAGGAGGAGGAGGAGGAGAAGGAAGAGGAGGAACTTGAGAAGAAGGGGGAGGACATGGAGGAGGTTGAGGGAGCAGTGAAGGAGGGACAAGGAAATGGTGAGTGTGTCGGAGCATGAGGTATAGGAGAAAAGGAGGAGGAAGGGGAGGAGAAGGCGGAGGAGGGAACCGAGGAGGATGAGTAGGATTTGAAGAAAGGTGGAGTCGGATGGGGAGGAGAACGAGGAGGAGGAGGAGGAAATCGAGAAGAAGGAGGAGGAGGAGGAGGACATCGAGGAGGTAGAGGAAACAGTGAAGGAGGGAAAAAGAAATGGTGCGTATGTCGGAGCATGAGGTGTAGGAGAGGAAATGAGGAGGAAAAGGAGGAGAAGGCGAAAGAGGGGATCGAGGAGGATGAGTTGGATTTGGAGGAAGGTGGAGTTGGATGGGGAGGAGAAACAGCAGGAGGAGGAGGAGGAGGAGGGGTCCGTAGCCATTTTGGCTCAAGGGGCCTTCTCCTTAACTTCCAACCTCGCCCGAGCAGTTGAGGCGTGTGAAAAGAGATACCTTGAGACTCTCTGGCCAGGGGCTCGCGACCCCCAGCCCATTTCTTTCACGATTACTCTCCCCCCTCGGCAGCGATGGGGAAACAGCAGCAGAAAGGTTTCCAGGTGTGCCCGCATGCTTCTTGTGGCTATCGCTGGAATTGGAAGAAGCATACTCAGTGTTGGCAGTGTGGGAAAGCTCTCAGGCCTGCAGCCAATGATTGGCCCAAACCAGCCTTGGGAGCCTGGGCTTACGGCCCACCTCGCGCCCGCACGCCAGGTGGGAGCCCCTTCACCATGGTGGGCAACATGGCGGCCGCTGGCGCGCCGCCAGGCGTTTGGCAGGCAGGAGGCACGTCGCTTCCAGCCACCTCGCCGTTCGCGCCCACCACGGAACAGCTGCTGGAGGCACTCAAGCAACGACATCCAGAAGCAGGAGCTGAACTTCAAGCCTTTGAAGCCAAGGCAGCCCCTCCAGTGCAGCAGGTGGACAAACCCAAGCTACGGCCAGAACTCCAGCGAGAACATGATCTCAATCAGGCTGGGGTACAAGCGCGCAAGACAGCGGAAGCTCTTGATCGTGCAATCCGATATGAAGCAGAATGCCGTGAATACCTTGCCAAAGCGGAATCAGACACACGTGGCAAAGCCAGAGTTGCAACAGAGGCGGCAGCTCGGCACCAAGCTCTTCTCCACTCGAATGTCGACCCCAAGGTGCTGCAGCAGACCGCCCCCATCAACCTGTCCAAATTGCTCAGCGCCACGGAGGAGACCGAGCTCCTGGAGATTCTCAAGTTCGAGGACGGCGCCAGCTTCGACACGTCGGAGTTGGAACTATCGCCAGAAGAATTGCAGCAATGGAAAGAGCATAAAGAGTCATTGGCAAAAGAAGTATCCAAACTTATCTGCGCCGCGGTGGGACCCTCGGCTAAGACACTCTTGGAAAGGAAGCAACAGTTTGAAGAATACAAGTCAAGGATGGCACTCAAAAGGCGACGTACCAATGAAGGTGGAGCACGAGCTGGTGGCGGAGGTGATGCTGAATCACAAGAGGCTGGAGGTACTGCGGCGGCGGAATCCAGGGGCGAGGCGACTAGCTCGGGTTCTGGTGCAGCAACATCCTCGGCGACGCAAGATGCAACAAATCCATCAGCCACGGCACCGTCTCAGCCACATGTTTCTGATGAACAAATCCAGGCCACCCTTGAGGCGGCAAAGCAGAAGTTCGCGCAGTCTCAGGCTTCCCCAACGGGGCTTTAGCCAAGGACGTGTACCACATGCTCGGCAACGCGGCGGCGCTGGGCAGAAGTTCTTTTTCTATTTCGCCAACTACACCAAGTGGAACGAGCGTGCCATGGCCTATTTAGCAGCAGAGCATATGCAAGATGTTTTGCTCCACATGGGTGCCGAAACTCATTTGAGAGGAGGGGCGCTGTTGCAGGCGCAGAAGAAACTCAAGCGCGCGGGGTGGTTGTCCACCTCGGCCCCTGCTGTCCCCACAGCCAAAGAAGGGACGCTTGGGCATGGCGGGGTCTGGGTTCTCTCGAGGACCACCATCCACTCCCAGGTCCTCTACCCCTGTAAGATCGGCCCAGATGGTAAAGAACAGTTTTGCGGCACGCAGTGGGTAGGCAGGACAGTCAGGTTTAAAGGACTGGATGTGACTTTTGTTTCAGCTTATTTGAATGACTCCGAGGGGGCTGTCGGCACCAACGGCCTTATTTTAGAAGAGCTAGCTGGATATTTACTCTCTGTGGCTAAGCACTACATAGTCATGGCGGACTGGAACATGACTCCTGAGGAGCTCTGGGAGTCTGGGTGGCCTTCATTTGTTCGGGGACACATCGCTGTACCACCTGGCGAATTTACAAATTCTGGAGGCACTGGAAGAATCCTGGACTTCGGAGTCGTCTCGGAACATCTAGCTTCCTTGGTCAAGCTTTCTCTGGATCAGAAGGGACCTTGGGCGCCACATCTGGGAATTTTTGGCGAGTTGGACCTGACTCAGAACATCCTGGAAGGCCGCA